CAAATGTACACATTCATCTGTACATTTATACATACTCGAAATATGGCACACTTCAAGCATTCAGAATTCAAATACACTTGCCTATCATATGTTCAATGCCCTGGACCAAATGTTCCTGAAGAAGCAAACAGATCCTTCCCTTTGTAAATAAGGAGAGGAAGAAGGGTTGAAAGGAGGGAAGGGCAAAGAGGGATTAAGATAAATCATGTACAGGCACAAATTTCCTATGATGAATGTGATCATTATGTACATCTAACCTAAAAAAAAAGAGGACAGATTCTTGTATATCTGCCTACTCAAAATGATTCAAGAGAAAACAGGGTTTCTTTATCAAAAGAAGTAAAAATTGAGCCAGGCTTGGTGGCATATGCTTGTAATCCAGCACTCAGGAGGCTGAGGAAGGAGGATCCCTGAGATGAGATGCTTGAATTGCATAGTGAAACCCTGTCTCAAAAAGACAAAAGAAAGAAAAGCAAAATTATATTAAGGGATAAAGACTCGAAGCTTATTAGTGGACTGTGTAGCAACATCTTTTTAGGCAGCAACGTATATGAGTGAGTTCCCCTCCATGAGAAACCAAGGATTCAAAGTCTTATCAGTTTCTGACCTTACCTTTTCTTCTTATTAAAGGATCCCCCTTTTGCCTGTATGTCTAAACATAATTATTTGCACCTTACTTTCTTCAGGATATTCTGGTTCAGATTTATGAGCCCACTGTAATAAAACCCAGTATCTGCCCAGAAAAAGTATTCTTTACTTGCCTGCTCCTTAAATTGTTTCTGGGACAAGCAATCAATTAGATCCACACAGCCTAGAAGGCAACCCGAAGGGTAGTCACTGGGAAATTCCACATCTGATCAAGACAAAGAAAAAAATTAGATACATTTCCTTGTCACCCTAGAACTCATGAATATGCTTTTAATTCTGAACAAATAACTTTTCCTAATTTTTATTTATTTATTTATTTATTTAGAGACAGGGTTTCACTATGCAGGCTGACCTTGAGCTCACTGTACAGCCCAGGCTGGTCTCGAACTTGCAACGATCTTCCTGCCTCAGCTTCTGAGTGCTGGGATTATAGGTGTGCACCACCATGCCGAGCACTATTATCAACTTTAGACATAAAGAAAACAATGAGGCTTTGTTTGGCACAATTGTTCATATTTCAGTCATAGTGAGTAGCTGGCTCAGTTAATATCCACATGGGAAAGCAGGGAAACCTTTCTCTGTAGAAAACTATTTCCTTACTTGTCCCATTAAAACTCAAGGACCCCACAAGTTTACTGTGAACAAACTGATCCTGTAATACTCAGTTGGATTATACTAGGGTTTTGTGGTAGTTAGGGGAACCAAGAAAAACAGCAATAAGTGACAAGAGAAAAGCCATAAGAATATGGCAAAAAAAAAAAAAAAAAACAAGGAAACTCTTCCTATAAGTTGCCTGACATGATCTGTGAAAATGGTTTGCTACTCTCTTGACCCAGAAAATCCCACAAAGTCATGCAAATCAAAAAGCCAAAATCTTAGTGTGCACTTTAAGAACAACCATGAAACCACCCAGGCCATCAAGGGTATGCACATCTGCAAGGCCACCAAGTATCCAAAGGATTTCACTTGAAGGAAGCAATGTGTGCCATTACAGTTATGATGGGGAAGTTGGCAGGTGGGCCCAACAGCCAACAGTGGGGTTGGTCCGAAAACAGTGCTGAATCTTCACTGCACATGCAGACAGAGCGCAAAGGCAGCCTGAAGGGTGCAGAGCAGATTTTCTGGATCCAGGTGAACAAAGCACCCAAGAGGCACCACAGTAATTACAAAATGGGGGTCAAATAAACCCACTGGGAGCTCCCCTACACGCTGAGAAGAAACAAACTTTTCCCCTTGCTGAAAAGAAACAAACTTCCTAAACCAGAGGAGGAAGTTGCACAGAATAAAGATACCTTGGAAGAAACTGAAGAAACAAAAGCTTATAGCACAGAATAAGTTAAGCATAAAATAAATGCAAATAAAAATCTTTAAAAATGAATGTCAGAACACAAACTTATTTTGACAGCAATGAGGATTTAACCTCACACTCTACCACTAAACTACATCCCCAGCACACCCCACCTGCCATCTATTTTTTTTTGGCAGCACTTGGGATTAAATCCAAGGCCTTCACACTGAGCTACATCCCTAGCCTTTTTTATTTATTCATTTAGTTAGTTAGTTAATTATTTAGTTATTTCTACTAATGCTGTTGTTTTTAAGATGGGTCTTGGTATTTTGTTCGGTTGGCCTTGAACTCACTGTGGAGCCAAGGTTAGCCCTGAACTTTTAGTGCTCTTCCTGCTTTTGCCTTCCAAGTGCTGGGATTATAGGTATGCATCACCATACCTAGTTTATCTTTTTTATTTCTGAGATAAAATCTCACTAAATTATCCAAGCAAGACTCAACCTTGTGATCCTATTGCCTTCTAAGAATTCAAATTTAAAATAAGCCTGACATATCACTGCAATGTGTTTTTAAGAAAATATACACACTTTTAATCACTCCTAGTGGTTGCCTAAGCTTAATTTTTTTCTTTCTTCCTTCCTTTCTTTCTTTTTTTTGGAACAAATTCACAACCTCCAGCTTGCCAGGCAGCCACTTACACCGCTGCATAAGTAAACCCCCAGCCTTTCTTTTTTGTTTTTTTGACACAAGGTTTTACTATGCAGCCCAGGCTGGCCTTGAACTCCCAGCAATCTACCTGTCTGAGCCTCCCAAATGCTGGGATTACAGTCATGTGCCACCATGCCGGGCTCCTGTTTTTAAAAATGTATTAGTACATATTTGCAGTATATAATGACTATACTCACCATGGGAAATCAATTCATGTGTATAGCACATCTTAATTATTTTTGATTTTCTAAATTTGGTTTCTTAAAAACTTTCTGGTTTTGGCTCCAGGGATAGGACTGGAGCCTCGTGCATACCAGGCAAGTGCTCCACCTCTGCACTCTTTCTCCCTAACTCTTTCACATTTCAAAACAACAGCCTGACCGAGGCCTCACAGAGTTGCCTGGGTTGGCCTTAAACTTGAAATCCTCTTGCCTCAGTCTCCTGAGTAGCTAGAATTTCAGGCAAGCACCCCCATACCTAGGTTCTTTTTTTTTTTTTTTTTTTATCAGTACCAGGGATCGAACTCACAACCGCCTGCTTGCAACATACCTAGGTTCTTAAGAACTAGGTGGTTCTGCCATTCGTTCATTGTACCTTTAAAACAACTACATGAGCTGGGTAAGAGAAAGTACAATGTTCTGTTTTGATTTTTATTATGTCTGAAGGTACCTGCAGCTATACTGAAGACAGCAAGAGGCATTATGATAACTAACTACTGTTGATTTCACAATGTTTTGAAGTCCTGTATCAGTTTCACTGGTTTGTTTTGATTGGCTTTATTCCTTTATTTTCCTTTGTTTTATTCTCTTTAGAATAAAAATCTTTTAAAAAGAGAGAGAAAGTAAAACAGTGCCCAAGGGTCAGAAGTTTTTTCTCTCTAACATCCAAATTTACCATGTATGGGGTGTTTCCTAAAATTCTCTGTTAAAGGCAAGTCAATTTTAATCTATCCAAATCTGCTATCAGATGTTTACCTGGGTTATTCCTGATATTTTAAAAAATCTTACTTTTGCTCTTAATTCCAGAACTTATATAAGAATAATTTGGGGGCTGGGGATTTAGCTCAGCGGCATAAGCGCCTGCCTTGTAAACAGGCAGTCATGAGTTCAATCCCCGGTACCGATAAAAATGAAAATGAAAAAGACAAAAACAAAAAAAAGAATAATTTATTTTATCTTCAAAAGTAAAAAAGATGAAGATTTTTCTCAGATAAAAATTAAAACTTACTATTGCCTCTTAACCTTTTGGGTAAGAGTGAGTATAAAATTAAAATTAGTTAGGCCGGGGATTTAGCTCAGTGGCACAAGCGCCTGCCTGGCCAAATGCGAGGCTATGAGTTCGATCCCCACTTCCCAAAGAATAAATAAATAAATTACATTGGTTGCCTTTTGGTGTTGGAAACTGATGCTTTATTTAATGCTTCACAGAGCCGTCTATGATTTTTCATTCAATAAATCAGTAAATACAAGGTTTTAAAGTCCCTTTCCACCAAGGAAAAACCCCAGGAAGAATCATCAACGTCTCCCCGACAAAGCCAGACTGAAAGCGCATGGCTCTTACCTTTCCCACGCAGAAGTCTGTAGGTAGCCTGGAGTTCAGAGACTTCTTGAGGGGAGGGTCTTTTGCCTGTGGCTGCTATCCAAAGTCGTCCTCTGTGGGGGGTATACCAGGATCTGCCCTCCACCCTTAAACAAATACAGACTTAGTGCAAAGCGTCTCAATTCTAGTTTCTTGGAAGATTTCCCCAACGTACAAGCAATCCTACAGCAAATTTTCTAGTTGAACTGAGGACTCTAAAAAAGGTATCTCACCAAGAAGGGTCCTTGTGTGGAAAACAAACCAAAAAGCTCAGAAACAAACTCCCTTTTCCCATAATACCTCTCTCCCGTGAGGTTCCATAATTTCTCCTTTTTTTTTTTTTTTTTGTCTTTTTAGACAAGATCTCACTATGCAGTTCAGGCTGGCTTTGAGCTCACTTTGCAGCCCAGTTCACTTTGTAGTCTTGAACTCCCAGCAATCCTCGTGCCTCAGCCACCCAAGTGCAGGGATTACAGGCTTGATCCACCACGCCCAACTCCAAGATGCTTATTTGCATCTCATCAAACTAAAAAAAATACCTAAAGAATATAACCCTAACCCTCAATCTTACTGTGGGAAGCGAGGCTGTGACTTTTTCATATTCTTCATATTCCAATGAAGACTAAGTGTTCTCGGTGGGGAATGAACCAATGCATGTCTACCCTCTACTCCTTAAGAGTTACTGGGAAAATGGCCCCATGAGTGCAGCTGAATCACACACTTTATTTCTGTGGGTTAGTGACTATAGGATAAATGTTGCTCATCCTGTTCTTTTCAGTGAAAAAATCTGGTAACAGAATCCTAAAATAGCACCAAGAAATGTAAACATTCTGATTCCCTGCCAGAAGCCAAGCTGTTTCATTTTCAGCTTTGGAAAAGGAAGACACCTAAACTGCAGAAAAATGAGTAAGAACAGACATCTGGAACTTGGCGGTCCTGCAGCAGAGGCAGAGTCACATGCTTGTTCTGATGGCCCTGCACTGGAACGCATACCAATTAGCAGCCAAAACAAGAACGCATGACCTTCAACAGGAGAGCAAACGGTAGTATATCTTTAAAAAGAAGAAAATGTGGCTCACTGAAGTAGAAGTGACTATCCCTAAGTGTCAATAATTTCTCTTTCCAGAATGCAGGGAAATGAATGAAGCCTACACAGTGAAATGGAAAGAACACTCTAAAACCTGAACTCTAACACTCAGCACCTGGGAGGCTAACACAGCTTTGGAAAAGGAAGAGTTCAAGGCCAACCTGGGTTACACAGTGAGACTCTAACTCAAAAACAAAACAAAGGGCTGGGGATTTGGCTCAGCAGCATAAGCACCTGCCTGTTGAGTGTGGGGTTATAAATTCATCCCGGGTACCAAAACAAAACAAATACCCCAAACAAACAAACAACTTGAATTCTAGCTCTGTGTCTGTTACTTTCTAGGTTTGCAACAGAGCAATCTAGCTTATCACTGCCTGACCTGGGGTCCTCATTCGGTGTACTATAGTAATACTTCATAGAATTATTATTTCAAAAATCAAGATTCTATTTAAATAAAAGATTTTCACTATCATGAATTAAGAACTACAGGGCATATAAAATTCTAATAGATTGGACTGGTGTGGTGATGCATGCTTCTAATCCCAGATTTGGGAGGCTGAAGCAAGAAGATTACTGAGTTCAAGGCCAGCCTGAACTACAAAGCAAAAACAATAAGAGCCAGGGATATAGCTCAGAGGCACAAGTGCCTGCTTGGCAAATACAAGGTCATGTGTTCAGTTCCCAGTACCAAACCAAACCAAAGTCTCAAAGATTAAAATAAGAAAAAATGAAATGGGCTTGTACTCTTGTAATTCCAGCACTCAGGAAGCTGAGGTGGGAGAATCATGAATTCAAGGCCAGTTTAAACTTTATAGAGAGACCCCCGTCTTAAAAAAGTAAAGAGCAAAATATAAAAAGAAGGAAATAGCTAGGCATGGTGGCACACATCTGTAAACTTAGCCCTTGGGAGGCTGGGGCAGGAGGCTTGCCATGAGTTCAAAGCCAGCCTAAACTATAAAACCAGACCCTATCTCACACAAAACAAAACAACACATCATCCCTAGAAAATGAATTCCAATCCAAAGTGCTAATGAACAAACAACTTTATGTCACTCTAAGATCTTTCATTGCTAAAACTCATTTCTGGAGTATGGCAGGCTGCAGTTCCCCCAGAGAGAGAACCACCAGCAACTCCTGAGATCCACGCCATGTTGGAATTTAGGATGCTGGGAAACCAAGCAAGCAGCTCCCTTTCCTGGTAAGCCGCAGTGGTGTGGCAGGCTGTGACCCCCCCAGAGGGAGAACCACCAGTGTCTCCTGAGATCCACGCCATATTGGAACTTAGGACACTGGGAAACCAAGCAACCAGCTCGCCTCCCTGCTAAGCAAAAGTGAGCCTACTGGTACACAGGCTGAGAGTCAAACATCCACTTCCGCTACTCCCTGCCCCCGTTACCAAATGGGAGCCAGAGATGTGAGCATCTCTTGGGAGACTGACCACAGTAAATAAGGGGGATTTTCTTCTACCATCTCTTTGAAGGGAAATATTTTTATTACTGTTTTGCTTTATTCTGATTAATGGTACTGCTCTACTCAATACTCTGTTTTGATAAGTTCTATAATGTTATGTATTTCATTTTATTTTGATATGCGTGATTGAAAGAACAACTACTGTGAAGATAATGAGATATAGTGTGGTATCTATTACTGTTATCCCGGTAACCTACTGTGAAATTCTGTACCAATTTCACTACACTTTCTCAGTTGGCTTTATTCTGTCTTGTTCTGTTGTATTTTACTACCTTCAATAAATAAATAAATAAATAAAACTCATTTCTGTTCTTACCTTTTAATCCCTCTAACAAGCAGAGAAGCCCAGGGTTGATGCATAGAGAGGCACCAGCCACCATCAAAGCCTTCCTGGAATTCTTCATCCTGGATCCTCAGTTGGTGCTGATACAGACTGGACTCTAGACCCTGTCCTACTGAATGGAAAGCCTTCTTCTGTGGAGTGGCACATGTATGATCAATCCACTGTAAGGAGGGAAAAAAGATCTGTCTTATCCAGGAAGAATCTGGAAAGGCGGACAGTATGCGATTAATACTAGTAATAATGACTCAAGAGACCAAGAGTGGTGGTACAGGAGCCTGAGGCAGGAGGATCGGAAGTTCAAGGGTAGCTTGGGCAACTTAAAATGATCCTGTCTCAAAATAAAATGTTTAAAGAGCTGGAGGTATAGCTCATCGGTAAAGTGGTTGGCCCAATACCACCACCACCATGTACACATACAAGAAAAGCACACCAAAAGCATTTGCTTAAAAACTTAATTCAAGGTCCAAAAAAAAGGTAGAGATGTTATAAATTCAATTGGAGCTGTCTAAGGCATGACAAGGTTCTTTCTTTTCTTTTCCACTAGAGCTTGAACCAGAGTTTCATACTGAGATAAATCCCCAATCCTTTTTATTTTGTGACAAGGTTTCACTACATTGCTAGGCCAGCCTTGAACTTGCCATCCTCCTGCTTCAGCCTTCCAAAGTGCTAATATTATAGGCATGTATCACCATGTCCAGCTATAAACTTCTATATTAAACACAATGTTAAAATCTCTATACAATGCTTCTTCTGTTTGTTTTGTTCGAGACAGAGTCTTACTATGTAGTTCAGATTGACTTCGAAATCTGTGTACTGCAAGTTGGCTTTGAACTTGCAGTAATCCTCCTGGCTCACCGAGTGCTGGGATTACAGGCATGGCCACCATGCCCCATCCTGCTTATTTATTTATAATTAGATTTTATTGGTACATTTTAGATATACATAATGATCACATTCATCATAGAAAATTTGTGCTTGTTTTTTTTCTTCCCCATTCCCCTACCTTCTTTCAACCCCTCCTGTTTCCCCATTTACATACTTTTGTTTGCCTGTTTTCCTTCCTTTCCCTTCTTTCCTTTCTATTTCTCTTTTCCCTTATTTCCTTCCCCATTTGAACATATTCCTCCTATTTCACAGTACTTATTTTGGTCCTTATGTGCACTTTCGGTTTCTCGCACCAGAGAAACTGCAATATTTACACATGTGTCTGATTTACTTCAGAGTACGGATTCAAGATACATCCATTTTACTAGAAATACCTTGAACGTATATTTCTTTATGGCAGAGACTGTATTAAATAAAAACACATCGTCTTTATCCATTCCTTAGTTGATGGGCACTTAGATTACTTCCAAAATGTGCCTACTACAAACTGTGCAGTTATAAACATAGGTTGCATATTCACTGTGATATGATGCTTTTAATTCTTTTGCAGAAGATATTGAGGAGGGCAATGGCTGGGTCAAGAGAACTTTTAATTTTACTTTTATAAGAAATCTCCACAGTGATCGCACCAGTCTCTACAATCGCACCAACAGTGGAGAAGGATTCTTTTTTCCCCAACAGCTCTGCCAGCATTGGTTATTGATTGATTGATTTCTTGGTTAACAGTCATTCTTTCCCGGGTAAGATGGAATCTCAGTGTTGTTTCAATTTGCACCTCTCTAATGACCAGTGATGTTGACCATTCTTTTCATATACTTATTTGCTGTTTGTATTTCTTCATCTGAGAAGTACGTATTCATCTCAGATACCCATTTTTGAATTGCGTCTTCAAATTTGGGAGGTCAGGAGCTGGGGGTTTAGCTCAGCGGCATAAGCACCTGCCTTGCAAGCAGGCAGTCGTGAGTTCGCTCCCCGGTACCAATAAAAATGAAAAAGACCAAAAAAAAAAAAAAAAAAAAACACAAATTTGGGAGATCTAATTTTTTTTTTTTTTTTTTTTAGTTCTTTGTATATTCTTGATAGTAATCCTTTGTCTGAGGACAAGCTGGAAACATTTCTCCCATGCTGTGAGCTGTCTCTTCACTCTGTTGGTGGTTTCTTTCATAAGATGAGATCCCATTGTGTGATCAGGGTTTTATTCATAAAGTCTCTGCCTATACCAATGTCTTCAAGAGTTTTACCTACTCTATTTTCCAGCAGATTTAATGTTTCTGTTTTAATATTTTGATCTTTGATCCATTTCTACTTTAGTTTAGTGCCTGATGAAAGATATGGGTCCAATTTTAATCTTCGGCATGTGCAGAGCCAGTTTTTCCAGCACTATTTATTAGAGACTATCTTTCTTCCAGTGAATGTGTTTGGTCCCCTTGTCAAAGATATGGTAGCTGGGGCCGGGGGTTTAGCTCAGTGGTGTAAGTGCCTGCTTGGCAAACACAAGGTCATGAGTTCAATCCCGGGTACCAAAAAAAAAAAAATGGTAGCTAAGTGTGTCTGGAGTTGTTTCTGCATCTTCAAATCTGTTCCACTGATCCTAGGGTCCACCCCTTTCTAACACAATGCCTCCTACTTCTAAGAAAAATATAACAGGGGCTGGGGATTTAGCTCAGCGGCGTAAGTACCTGCCTTGCAAGCAGGCAGTCATGAGTTTGATCCCCGGTACCGATAAAAATGGAAAAAGACAAAAAAAAAAAAAAAAAAAAAAAAAAAAAAAATATATATATATATATATATATATATATATATATATATAAAACAATCAGACCTAAAGAGCTACAACTGTTCCACTTTATACTTACTAGTGATCCATACTGTATTGTAATAATTTTCCAAGAAAATGCTATCAGTCAAATGAAAGTTTGACATTTTGATCTGTAATTCTTTATGTGCTTAGAGCAGAGTCACATGTCTGTTACCACAACAAAGAGGATGCCGTTAGGAACAGCGGATCCACTGCCAGATGTATGAAGTCTTCTGCTTCCCCGAAAGGAACAATTTTTCCCCAAAAGAGAAGATGGAGCTGCTGAGAAACAAAGCTCCCTCTGTCACACACAGTGGACAGGAAATTACAGAGTCATGGCAACAGTTCACTCAGAGGTAGATGAAACAAGACGACCAAGTGCTTCAAAGTTAGTAAGGAAAAAAAAAGGCTACTGTGACTGGAAGACTTAAATTTTTAAAGGTTTAACAATTAGTTGAGAAAACCTTGCTAGCATGGTAGACTGACAGCCTGGAAATCCTAGCAATCATGTAATCCCAAAAGCTTTTGTTTTTCCTACCACAAAAGGATGAGACTATACTAAAAGAATCTTTTAGAATGTTTCCGAAATAAGCTGGGCATGGTGGCTCACACCTGTAATTCTAGCACTCGGGAGGAGGAGGATTCTTGTGAGTGACCAGCCTGGTCTACAAAGTGAGCTCAAGGCCATCCTGAACTGCATAGTAAGACCTTGTCTCAAAAAAGACAAAAAAAAGTAAAAAAAGAATGTTTCCTCAATAAAATTTTATGATTCTCATCAATTGTGTCATATCTTAAAAAAAAAAAAAACATTTGAGTACTTAACTGGTGAAAAGCATATAACTAGGGAGATATTAAACATAAAAAGAAATTAAAATAAATAAATATCAAAATATACTGTCCTTGCTCTCAAGGAACTTACAATAATAGTAGAAGACAAACACAAAAGTAATTGTCCATAACATAAGGCAAACTGGGTAAATATGAAATAAGGATAGATGCTCTTATGTAGAGGAAAACTTGCTCCAATTTGGAGGAAGCAAGTAATCTTATAAAAATATTGAGATTTGAACAATCATCATCCCAAATCCTTTGTTCTGTTTTTTTTTTTTTTTTTTTTCGTACTGGGAATCGAACTCAGGACCTCATACTTGCCAGGCAGGCACTTACACTGCTGAGATATATCCCAGGCCCCAAATCCTTAGTTCTACTACAGCTCTTGACTCTAATCACATAGTCACCTACCTATATTAATCCCTCATTAATCATTTTTCAATATACTGTTCAGAACCTATTACCCAGTCTCTTCATTGACATTTTTAGTCTTTAAATAACTCTTTTTTGCCTTACTGGTGCTATAATCCTAACATACATACATATATATATTTATGTATATATATATATACATATATATAAAATCGCCCTACTGTGCTGCTACAATAACCTCCTTAGCAATCCTGCTGCTGCTAGTCTTATGTTTCCCTTTAATCTGTCCTCTATGTACGAATGGAAGTCAGGCAAATCTGTTAAAATCCTTCAAGGACCTCTCTATGCAACTTTAGGATAAAACCAAACTCTTTAGTGTGCAACCTAAGGGCTTTCATGATCAGGTGCTGTCTACTGTACTGGGTTGAGCAGTATACCATCAAACTTTTTGTCTACCTACATTCTAGGGTTATGACCCTTATTTTGAACTACAGTCTCTACAAATGCAATCATTTTAAATGAAAACATCCTAAATCTAATGACTGCTGTCCTTATAAAATGGAGAGGACATGAGACAGAGACATACAGGGAAGAAGATCATGTGAAGTCAGAGGCACAGACTAGGACAGTGGTGGTGAGCCCACGGCATGCATGCTGCAGTGTTCGTACCACTGAAAGCTCTAAAAGCTTCAAGGTCACTGGATTAGTGTCACGTAGCTATAAGCCAAGTGATACCTAGGGCCACCAGAAGCAGAAGAGGCAAGGAAACAATACTCTGCTGCAGAATTTCAGAGGCAATGTTGCCTGGCTGACATCCTGATTTTGAATATTTGGCAGACCTAGGAAACTAATATACCTATTGATCCCTAATGGTATTTAATTACTTGTGACTCTCCCAGATCTATAAGCCTCTGCACATATTGTATCTTACACCTGGAATTCCCTTTCCAAACATATCTGCTTAGAAATTCTCTGTCTCTCTCTCTACTGTGATATTACAGATTGAGCCCAGACCCTCACATTGCTAGGCAAATTATCTATCACTGAGCCACATCTCCCTAGTCCTACTAAGTC